GGGCTGCTTGTGAAATTAACAGTACAATCTACATTATACAAATTACATGCACAAAGTGAATTTGATTTATACTGTACCAAATATCTACAAGATTTATAGTTTTACCTCCATGTAGTTTTGAAATAATCAAACTCACATTTACTTTAATTGTAGATTTATATTTAACACTGACTAGATCTAGAAGGATTAGTAATGTGGAAGTTTAAACTGATATGAACAATGAATTGATGTTATTTTAATTGGCGGTTGCATGCATTGCTGTTTAGTTCATGAACCACTAAAATGTAGTTTATATTTAAGTTTAACCCAAAACTCTTTCAAATCAAAAATTCTGTAAAACACACTAAATAAATCATGAAATAAAACTAAAGAAGTTTCAAGAATCTGTTTATACAAGACACAAAAGTAAATATACACATTTAGAGTCTACATAGAATGATCTTTATCCAGCTAAAATCAAATCATTAGCTCTAATCATCATTTTGAATAAATTAATTCATTGCCTGCTGACTCTCAGGTCATGAGGCTTGACAGAATCAGGCTAGAAAAATTAAAATAATATATTAATAGTCATGATCTATTTATGTGCACTTTTTCTTCACAAACATGGAATTACTTACACTGTGTTTACATTTTTTACGTAGAAAGTAAATGCTGGTTGGTATTACTATCACAAGAATAATTACAACAATAACAGCAGCAGCAACAATTCCTAAAATTATAGCAATAGATCTACCTAAAAGAAAAATAGGGAAATGATTTAGTTAGGGCTATTACCTGGTCCATCAGCTGTAGGTGGATTACTGATAGTAGGTGATGGTGTATTACTGATAGTACTAGTAGGACTAGTGTCTATTAATGGTATCTAATAGGTGATAAATTAATTAACAACACTTACTAAATGATATGTTAAGTGGTTCACTACTACCAGTGCAATCACTAACAACAATAATAAATGAACAATTATTATATAGAGGTACTGGTACTGAATCTGTTAGTGTTACATTATTGTCATTCTCCACTAGTGTAGTATTATTATACACAGCACCAGTTTCATACTCCGTTGAAGTTAGCAGCACATTTTGCAGCAGCACATTCCTCACTTCAAATCGATTAAATTTTTGTGGTCGAAGCCTTATAACAAGGGTGGGGCTCGATTAGAACTCGGGTGGAGCTGGTTGCTGCGCTCGAGCGATCATAATTACTGTTTATACCGATAGATTATAAGATGTTCTTTTATAGGACAAAAAGAGCAAGTCAAGAGAACACTTAAGGTTGCTAGATTAATATCTGTTGTTCTTTTTATAGGACAAAAAGTGTAGGTCAAGAGAATAATTCAGTTTCATTGCACTCTAT